AGCAAGGGTCAAGAATGCACCAAACAGCAATATCACTGGGCTGTGCCCTGATGCAGATTAAGGACCAACACAAGGGTTACCCAGCGCTACCCTTCCCCTTCTGGGAGTCACAGAGCACTAGCCATGTTTTCCTCGCAGTGGGATTTGCAGCCAAGAGCAAAACCTCCCACCCCGAGGGACCCGCGATTTGGGGCTTTCTCCTGGCCTATGTTCACTTAGGTAGTCCCAAGGCCCGAAGATCCTTTCTCCAAGGAACAGATTGCTGTTCCTCCCTAGCTGACTTGGTGGGCTCCCGAGAGCCAAAGGCTCTGAATAGCTCATTCCGCCCTCCTTTGATCCACTCAACGGACTGCCCATCATTGCTCTGGGCCATGGCTAGACAACAGCTTCTTGGGGTCCTAGCTCCTCCACTGTGAAGGTAGCAACATCTGTCAGCAGTGGTATTCAGCAATTCAGTAAAGCACCATCAGTGTAGCCTCCTATGCAGATGCGGACACGCCCTCCCTCCCACCCCTTGTCCCCACCCCTGCCAGGAATCCAGGTCTTGCCCTAGCTTCTGTTAGAGTAACTGAGCAAAAAGGTAGAAGAATCATTCTATAGATTTTGTTTGTTTGCTTGTTTTAGATTTATTTCTCTTTCTTTTTTTACATGAATGAATGTTTTGTCTTCCTGTGTCTGCTCATCAGTAACTAGGTCTCAGCTGTCTGGAACATAGGCAACACCCAGGAATTGAGTGTTTAATCTATGTTTCACTCATATAACCAGTGATCAGAGAAGAAAACAGATTCACATATTAAAAATCTTTCTTCCATTTCTTCTTTAGCCCCATGATGGGGCAAAGGCAAGCATGAAATCAATCATTTTAAAGTTTGGTCTCTCTCTTCTGGTCAGGTGATCAGTCTTGTCACTGAGATTGACTTCGCTTGTCTTTTCTCTTTGCTGTCTTCTGTCTATAGCAGGGGCAATTCTACTGCCCCTCTTCGTCATCCCTGTGCAATGGGAAGAGGCTCCCAAGCATCAGGACCAGTCAATGCTTTCCTCTCAGGCTTCCTAGAAGACAGATTAACTCAGAGCAAAGAAACCATTAGCACTGTGCACTACAGAATCCCACAGCATAGAATACAAATGCGCTTCTATAACAGAGACTCTAAAGTACCTGTATCAATCTCCTTGAAGTCAGATGACCTGGGAGTTAGATGGGTTTCAGTTCCAGGTGCCACTTGTCTATGAGAAACCCTATAGTCAAAAAAAAAAAAGAAGAAAAGAAAGAAGGAAGGAAAAAGAAAAGAAAAAAAGAAAAAGGAAAAAGAAAACTTTTTCTAGAGAAAAAGAGTCTAGAAAAAGACTAGAGAAAAAGAGTCTAGAAAAAGAGTAGAGAAAAAGGGTCTAGAGAGATATACCGGGAATTAAGAGTATGAATGATACCCAGAATACCTTGGTTTGATTTCCAGCCCACAAAAAGATGATCACATCCTTCTGTAACATCAATTCTAAGAGAATAATGGTCTCTAGGGCATCCTTGGGTACCAGCCACTCTTGTGACACACAGACATACATGTTGGCAAAACACCCATATGTAGAAAATAAAAAATTAAGGCATTAAAAACAAAACATACATGTATATTCTGCTATGCTTCAGTGATTTTTAAGAAATGGAGCCAACATTCAGTAGGCAGTGTGACTGCAGATTTGCTACAATAAACCTCCTATGGAGTCCTCTAGGGACAGGAGCGCTACTCAACTGACAGAAGATTTTGAAGAAGAATAAAACAGAAAGCTTCCTCAAATCCTGTCTCCCCTTCTGTTTTCCAGAGTGTGCAGATTCCACTACCATACATATCCGACCCTCTGCTTCCCTTCTGCCGGAAGCAAAGATAGTTTCTATATGCAACTGCAAGCCCAGGAGGGGTAGGTACTCTGCCTACTCAAGCCTTGTTCCCCGAGACGCGGCCTCTTACATCTTATCACCACCAGGTGGCACTTGAGGAACAAGTTTGACAATGAATGGCGCTCCACCCAGTATGTGCTAAGGCTTGGCAGTTGAGCCTGTGGCTTCTGGGTGGGTCCCAGCTGTGACAACCCTCCCTGAAGATGTTCCGTGCCCCATGTGAAGTTTTAAGAGAGTCTCACAAAGAGCATGGGACGGGGGAGGTGCTTAGAACCGCACTTGCAGGGCTTCAGCCTGTCTTTTCCTTTACTCAAGGGCTTTGCAAGTTTCAGTGTGTAGGGAGCTCCCCAACTAAGGAAGTCCCTTACTTTGCAGCCATAGTTGTGGCCAGCAGGTCACCCATTTATCTTCTAACATCTATCGTCTTTTTCTCCCTGTTTAGTTTTGGAACTTCGGTCCGTTATCACCATGGACAGGAACACGGGGTTACAGAGCAGGATGGTGAGCTGGGGGCTGGAGGAGCAGCTAAGAACTACATCCTGATGCATTGGCCAGTGGTTGCCTCAAGAAAGGTAACCAGGCTTAAGAGAAAGTAGACTCTTAGAGGGGAGAAAGCATAGTTCATAAGGAGGTGTGATTCACTACGAAAGAGCTTAACGACTTGATTAATTCATTCAAAAAGAAGTCTAGGGAATATGGGGGGGGCAGGGACGGGTGTGGATTTTAAGGGTATTGGATAATGGCAAAAAGAACATAAAACTGGATCAGCCTGGTTTTATTGATGTGGCTCCTCTGAGTCGATATTTTAGATTTAATGTGGAATTGTGCTCAATTTAAAGGAACTGGTGGCAAAAGTTAAAAAAAATGGTGGCAAAAGTTTGTTTGAATGCTTGGTTGAAGCATTTGTTAAAAGATGGCCTACTGGAAAGAAATTGGAGAAGCCTGATACCCCTTGGCTTAGTGCTGATGAAGAGATTTTAGGCTCAGGTAAATTGGAAAGCTGGAGTGGGTACACTGTTACAAAACCCAATCCTCCACAATGGGAGTCTCAGAAGACATGCCCATCACCAACCCTATAAGATTTAAAATTGTGATGGGGGCACCAGCGCATTTGAAGTGCTTTGCTGACATCCTTCTTCTTTCCTAGAACTTCGGCGTGGAGATGCTGCTATTTGGTTAAATGAATTAAATGCAGTGGGTTTAATTGTGTTCCATGGTAGCAGGAGCCAAGTAGCAGCACTGAATTACCAAATGCAAATTGTAGGAAGCAGCACAAGCAAGTGGATTTTATGGTGACATGACTCATATGGACCTTTAGTACTGACTAATCAATCATGGTGCTTCCGGGCATATAATGTATATATAAGTGATAACAAGCCTTCTAAATTTTGTTTGATCTATATAAGAGGAAAAAATCTCAAATAAACGATAAAAGGACTGCATTGGATTATGGCAATTGATGGGCCCATCAATCAATTTCCAGACTTAAGGCAGTTTGCAGACTTCAAACCCCTTGAATAAAGAAACATCCAGATTCCCCTGAGGAATGATCTTGATAAAATTCCTAAAAGTATTCCTGGTGATCCCAAGAAACATGGTGGCTCTCCAGATAAACAGGAACTTATTCAGGTCAGGTGATTAATGAAGGTTTGGCTGAAGTCCAACTCACAGTAGGTCCAGTAGGTCCCCAAACTTAACCTGTGGTTATTCCCCCAGTTCCAAAATGTGTAATTGGGATAGATATGCTTAGATTTTGCCAAAAATCATACTGGTTCCATGCCCTGTGGAGTGAGGGATATTATGGTTCAAAGGTAGAATGGAACTCCTTAGAGTTGCCCTCTGCCAAGGAAAAATAGTGAATGGAAAACAGTATCACATCCCAAGAGGAAACAAAAACATTGTTGCCTCCATTAAGAACTTGAAGGATCTAAGGGTGATGGTTTCCACCACATCTGCCTTTAACTCCTCCCTCTGCCAAGTGGAGAAAACAGATGGATTGTGGAGAGTGACAGCTGACTATCAGGAACTCAATTAGGTAGCAACTCAGATGGCAGCTGCTGTACAGGAAATGGTGTCCTTGCTTGAGCAACTTAACATACACCCCAGTAATTGGTGTATTGGAAGCTAAAATCAGAAGGAAGCCCCAGTTAAGAAAATGCCTCCGTATTTCAAGCTGCAGGAAAGCCTGTAGGGTGTTTTTTTTAATTATTGTTTGATGGCGAGGGACACAGCCCATTGTAGATAGTACCATTGCTGGGCTTGTGGCTCTAGATTCTATAAGAAAAATGGATGAACAAGCCATGATGAGCAAGCTAGTTAGCACCATCCCTCCATTGCCTCTGCATTAGCTTCGGCCTCTAATTTCCTACCCTGTTTGAGTTGCTTTCCTGACTTTCTATGATGATGAACAGCCACATAAAAGTGTAAGTCAAAAACACTTTTTCTTTCCCAAGTTGCTTTTGGTCTTCATCATTGATCATAGTACCAGAAACCCTGACTAAGACACATGATCCGAAGATATTGATCTAGCAAATGCCTTTTTGGGACATATTCCCATAAGAACCACTTTCAGTTGGCAAAGCCAGCAGTATATCTGTACAATTTTACCTCAAATATCTTTTCTCCAGCTGTGTCATAACGTAGTCAGAAAGGCTCTGGATCTTATATCTTTCCACAATGTACCACATTACTGTACTATCTTGATGACACTATGCTGATTTGAGCAAGTGTGTAGGAGGTAGCAATCACTTTGAACTCATCGGTAACATATATAAAGAGGATGGGAAATAAATCCCAACTTTAAGTTCTTTCTCAAAAAACAAACACAACCCCTGTAATACAACAACAAATCCGAGAAAACAAGACAGCATTAAAAAAGGAAAAAGGAAATAATCAACAAAGTATAGCCAAACTGAAGCATATAATCTAAAAAAAAAATCCAACAAGACAAAATAAAACAGAAGGAAACTGTGGAGTCCATATAGGTTAGTCAGCTACTCTTGATCGTGAAGCTTGTGCTGGAGTGGTTGGAATGTCACTATGGGAGAAAACTGCTTTCCCTCTCCCAGCAACTATAAATGACAGTTGAGTTGTTAACATTTACCCTAGTGGCTAGGTTTTCATTCATCCATTTATTCATTAACTTTTTTCAAAACATAAAATATGAAACAAATTCAATCACATCAAAGTTGGACAAGACAAGCCACCACAAGGAAAAGAGGCCACGAGAAGATGTTATATATATATATATCTATATGTATGTATATATTAGAGACTAACCAATTCTCACACACAAGAATCCCATGAAAACACTAAACTGGAAACCATAATATATATGCAAAGGACCTGGTGCAGACCCATGCAGGCCCTGTCCATGCCACCTCAGTCTCTGTGAGTTCATAGGAGCTTTGTTCATGTTAATACAGAAGACTTTGTGTTCTTGGCATCCTCCATCCCTTCTGGCTCTTCCACTCTTTCTGTCTTCTCTTCTACAGGGTTACCTGAGCTCCAAAGGGAGGGATTTGATGGAGACATTCCATTTAGGGCTGAGTGTTCGAAGGCCTCTCACTCTCCAAAAACAATATCTGTTTATGAGTCTCTATATTTGTTCCCATCTTGTTGAAGGAAGCGCTCTTCCTTGTTGAAGGAAGAGCAAGACACTGACCTATGAGAATATCAAAATACCATTAGGAGTCATCTTATCACTGTATCCCCCTCCTTTTATAGAACACTATTATTTAGTTTTACTGTAGGTCTCCGGGATATCTAGACTCAGGATCTTGGTCGCCCAAGCAGTATCCCATGTTGGTTTCATCTTGTGGAGTCAAATCAGTTTCTGGTTGGTTCCTCCCAAAAGCTTTGTGCCACAATGGCCCTAGCACATCTTGTAAGGAAATACACCTTTGTAGGTAAAGGGATTGCGGCTAACTTGATGTATAAGTTTCTCTTTTAGTAGAGTGCAGAATAATTTATGGTACCAAAAATGTTGGAACACAGGGGTTGAGGTTCTGTAATGGGGAATGACCTTGAATTCGATGGCACAGGACAAGACTTTCTGAACAGAATGCCATAAACATAGGCAGTGAGATCAACAGTTAATAAATGAGATGTAGCATGATTATTAAAAATTCAAAGTCAGATATTGGGGTTCAACCTGAAGGTCAGAAAAGCAAAGCAGCCAGCCACAGATTCAACCTCAGTTCAAAAAAATGGTGATCCTGCCTCCAGGAATCTCAGAATGATACTGAGCCTGAGAGCTGTCTCCTCCAGTCTTTTAATCCTCTCTAGGGTTGGGATTAAAGGCATGCACCACTGGGATAAAAGACATGCACTGCCAATTTCTATAGCAAACTAGTGTGGCTACTGGGATTAAAGGTGTGTGTTACCACTGTCTGATCTATAAGGCTGAGCAGTGGGGCTGTTTTATTCTCTGATCTTCAGGAAAGCTTTATTCATTAAAATACAAGTGAAATTACACTACAAAGAGACCCCATGAAACTTTAAGCTTTATGTCATGTCAGCAAATGACACCTTCATTTATACAGAGCGGCAAAGTTTCTTCACAGCAAATGACACCTTCATTCATATACCGCGGCAGCCTACAGAATGGGAAATGGTGGTGGTTGGTTTTAATTTTCAACTACACATCAGATAGAGGACTAATATTCAAATTATATTGGAAACTAGATATCAAAAATACCACAGATGGTAGGTATAGAGTAAAGGACTGAGGAACAAATAGATCTTGTTAAGAAATAAAAATAGGCTTTCTAGTTGGGGTTGGTGAATCAGAGGGAGTGGGACTGGGATGGAAGAACAAATTGGGGAAGGGGAGGGGAATGGAGGTTATGGAAGGGAATACAAGGAGAGACATGAAATTAATGGGCATCTGAGGGTACTATGGAAACCTAATGCAGTATAAACTTCCTAAAATATATACATATGTAAAGGTGATCTAAATGAAATCGCCAAATAACAGGGCAGACAGAGTCGCAGTTGCTCATCCCTTGTCACCCAGTGAAGCTTCCTGTACTTCATCGGGTTGTTTCTAATTGAGTTGCTGGCCAAGGGAGATCCCATAGGAATCTCTAAACAATCCAGGCTGATGCCAAGACTATAGGTTGTTCTTCACAAATTCACATCGAGGCCCAGTTGTTGAAAACAGAATCCATAGAACATGAAGAATTTGAACAGGTGCCTACACAGAACATATTTTTTTTTAAAGTTAACAAGACTAGCTCTACAGAGCCTGCTTCACACTTCTTCCCATTCCTCACATCCCACTATACCGCACTATGGGCCACGGTGAGCCTATACCTGACACCATGGACTAGGCTTCCTTGTTTATAGGTTGATGTAAGTACTTCGTTCTCTATCCCTCCGTTTGTGTCTGCATCCTTCACCCCAGGGCACGTTTGAAAGTCTGGTGTTGCATATAGTTGCAACTTGTTCCTTCTCACTGTCTCCTGCAGGCCCAGAGCGTAAATACTCTAAGTAGTAACTGCTTACATATAATACTCATAGTGACTTTTTTGTCTTCCAAATTGAAGTTGTTGATTGATGGATTAATGGATAGGTTGATTGAGACAAGATCTTATTTTGTAGACCAGCCTGATCCTCTGAATACCTTCCAAGAACTGAGATTACAGACGTGAGCCACAATGCCTGATTTAGAGGTTATTCTTATTTTGGTAATACCAATATTCTTTTTTTAATAGATGGCATTTCATAAGCCTATGAATGTGCGCGCGCGTGTGTGTGTGTGTACACCATTCTATTTGGTTACCTTCTATTTTGCTATAGAACACAACTTCCTATCATTTTATGATAAACTTTTCTCTGTTCTTGTTAGTTCATTAGCAGGTAAACAATATTTTACTAGGCATTGTCTTGCTTTTAACCTACTAAGATGTTAGAACTAGATTCAAGACCTTAGTTATACAGCACTAGAATGAAAAGAATACGTACACAATACTTATAAATTTTGTTGTATCAAGACTAACTGAAAACATTTTCAAAAGTTTCCAAAATAAATGTAAAAGTGAATCCATAGGTACACTGTAAAATATATGGAAAGCTGAAATACCTACCAAATTTATTACTATGTAAATTCTGCATCTATAAAATATTAAATAATTCAGAAAAACCTACATGAAAAAGAATGAAGATAAGACAATATGGTTATGAAAGGTAGAGAGAATTATGCTAAGCTATATATTTGTAGGCACTTTTAAACTTGCATTAAAATGAGCACTTATATTGTCTTTAGCAAATAACTAAAGAGATTAGAATAAACGCTTATAGCATATGTTTATAAGTATGAGCCTCATGCTAGCAAAAAATATTTAGTTTAATGAAAGCTGAACAAGAAACATGATAAAATAAAATATGTATATTAAAATGGAAGTAGATGCTGCTTGTTTTAGTCAGTGTTCTCTAGAGGAACAGAACTGATAGAATGCGTGTATACATAGATGAAGAAAGGGGGTTTCCTTAGAGTAGCATACAGGATTGTGGTTTGGCTAGCCTGGCAATGGCTGTCTACCAAAGAAAGTCAAGAATCTAGCAGTTGTTCAGTCTACAAGGCTAGGTGGCTCAGCTGATCTTCAGTACGTGTTGGAACCCTGTCTCTCCTTTTCCAGCATACACTGGAATTAGAAGCATGCACTAATATCTGGCATTTTTGTGTGGGTTCTGAAGCTAGAACTCAAGACTTCAGGCCTGCCAGATGTTTTTCCTCCAACCTTCAATCTCCTTTTCATGATAAAAAATAAAAAAATCAGAGTAATAAGATATTTCTTACCCATACTAATATTCTTAATAGACAGCATTTATTAAATGGTGTATTAAACTGTCACAATTAAGGTTTCCTCCTCTCAGATGACTCTAGCGTGTGTCAAGTTGACATAAACTAGCCAAGAGAGGATGTGTGAGGGACAACTATGTGCATGGAAAATTACCAGAATCAAAGACTTTGATGCTGTAAAATTTAGTAAGGATTCAAAACACAAATTAATTTACAATAGCAACAAATCTTCCTAGCTACTAATTGCTACCAAGGTTTTGCTTAAAAAAAATAAGATATCTTCCATGATAGTGAACAAATAAAAAGAACCAAGGCATTAGATTAGTAGAAATTTCAAAACTCATATATAGAGAAAAATGTGAGCTTTTCTATAAAGGAAAGACTTGAATAAACATGTCACAAGATAATAAAGAGGAAATTTCACTAAAAAATGGCTATCAGCCTTCCAAAAGCTCTCTATAGTGAAAAAATAATAATTATCAAATAAAGAAATCAAAGATGATATGCACATTGAAAAGATACCCTGTGTTCATAGATTTGAAGAATTCAGATCATTAAAATAACTGTACTCCTGAAAGTGAGGCAAAGAGTTTGTGCAATTTCAAAGTCATCAGAACTAACGAGAGAACCCAAATGTGTCTGGACAGCAAAACTTCATCCCTTGTCAGAAGCTACTGCACCTCCTGACTTCAAAATGTACCATGAAGCAGTACCTAATCAAAACAGCATGGCATTTACAAGACACAGACTCACAGACCAGCACAGCAGAACAGAGACACTGAGATAAAACCACACATCGACAGAGAACTGATTTTCAATTAAGGTGATAAGGACACACACCCAGACCCTGGGAATGGTTGGTGATGTTAGGAAATGCTATGTCAGGGAATCTGGATAACCCAGAAGGAAAACAGTCATCAAATCCATATAAGAGACCAATATCAGAGAAGAAGAAAATATTTGCAAACTCATCTGAGAAGGGTTTAGCGTTTCAAGACCTATAAGAACTTAAGAACTCAAGAAAAATAAGCTACTCAATTTTATGGGTAATAAACCTAAACAGACATTTCTCACAAAATAGCTAATAGATATATGAGAAAGAAGATGCTTAACACCACCAATCATCACAGAAATGCAAGTAGAAACCACCAGAAGATGGCTGCTTACCCCAGAAGAATAGTTACTATTAAAAGTACCAAAGTCAAGAGATGTGTGGATGTGGAGAACGGAACCATTTGATGCTGAGCCTGAAATGTAACACACTAGGAAGGGTTCTCAAAAAGTTAAAAAAAAAAGAACTGTTACATGATCAAGCTGTTCCATTATTGGAAACAAAATCAATAAATAGAAAATGATGTTGGATGTTCTCTGTAGCGCTGTTCACAACAGATGCGGGGAGAAGGTACTGCCGCCTAGAACTGATGAATGGAGTGAGAATCGTGACCCTCCCCCAATCTGTGTGAATATCATTCACACATAAAAAGGAAATTCCATCATGTGCAGCAATGTGGGTGGAACTAGAGGTTCATCCATGTCAAGCAGAATAACCAAGAAATGTAAAGAAAAGTACCACATGGTCTTATCTAAATATGGAATCTACAAAACTCATGTCCGAGTTGAGAGTAGAGTGGTGGTCATTAGAGTCTGAGTTAGGAGAGGGTAGGAGGGATAAGGAGAGGTTGATCAACAGGACTAAGCTATAATTCGATGTCAGTGAGACTTCTTTGTGCAAATGTCCAGAAGGGTCATTATAGATAATGATTATGTGCTGTATATCTTTAAAACCTAGCAGAAAACATCTAAGTTTTAGGTACAAAAAGCTGATGAATGTCTGAATAAGCAGATACGTTTAATCTGCTATCAAAATGTACATGGTACTCCATAAATATCTTTAATTTTTATGCATCAGTTAAAATAAATCTAATTTCAATTTCAAAACTTAAAGACATTAATATTAATAAAGCCCCACTTGGATTTACTGCTGCCTGCAGTGACATTATAAAAACATTTTTCTCCACTTATTTTTAAAATGGCAATTGCTGTTAGCCAGTGTAAGCTTTAATTTAGAATGATTTGTCTTAAACTTAAATGCTATTCAGTGACAGAGAAAAAAAAATGCACACTACCATTTATGACTTCTGATGGTGGTGGCTCATTAAGGCCTCAGGTTCTGTTGATGGTGTTCCGGGCTGCAGTGTTGATAATGAGACAGACATGTTCTCTGACCTAGAGATACCATGACAATGTTACAGAAATCAAGTAAATACTGACCAAACACTCCTTCCCATGACAACACATTATAAGAGAAGGCTATTAGGTAAAATTTGATAGATTCCTACAGAAATTCTCTTGAGCAGTTCACCAAAATGCTAGAACCGGCCTATTGTTTTTACCTTAAAGTTTGAAGCAATTGTTTGTGGTCTACTATCTCCATAGAGATCATATCATCTATATTCTAAACTTATAATCTGCTCCACAAATCCCAGATCCATACTCGTTGATACTTAAATAACATACTCTCTCAAGTATAAAATAGGCATTTTAAAATGACAACATTTAAAACAGAATTCTTAATCCTCCCTCCAAACCTTGCTCTCCCTCTATTCTTGTATATATTTGTAAACATTCTCTTTACTGCTAAAACACTAACTTTGGGTAAGATAATGTTTTCCTCTCACTTGTTCTCCCTTCCTGTCCCTCAAAAAGCCTTCCCATCTCCCTATCCCGAGTAGAACCTTAACCCCTCCTCCTCTTTTCTACCTCTCCAGTCTAGACAGTTTTTGTCAGTCTCCTGACTACTGTAGCCGTCTCTTCAAAATGCTCCTTCATTCTTGACCCGTAAGGCATCTTTTCCACATCCCAGTGAGAGAGCCTTCTAGATTATAGATCAAATTCTCACACTTCTTTGGTTTATATATTTCCCTGGATCAAGATGGAGCAGGATAAAAACTCCACCGCTTTTTTAAATTAAAGAATATATAGTAACCATGAGACAAATCACACGCTACCAATTAGGACTATAGTTCCTGCTGTCACAAGCTAGGACTTTCTTATTTCCATTGATCTCCACCCCATCATATACCTCTGTCTCCCGTGAAAATCTGTTCTCAATAAAGAGTCTTAAACATGGGGCTAAAGGGTTGACTCAGCAGTAAAGGGATCAGCTCCCAGCAACCAGTTTCATAACTGCCTGTAACTCAAGCTTTTGCACTCTCTTCTGACCTCCACAGGCACCAGACACACACTTGTAAAGTACAGACACACACTGGCAAAACTCACATACACATAAAATAATGATGAACAATTTTTCCTTCTTAAAAAAATAAAAAAGACTATTACACTCAATTCACCATAAACATAAATGCTTGTCCATGGCCTTCTTTTATAACCAGCCAATTTCAGAAATTGTCAAGGATGTGGAAATGAGTTTTCTTTCACTATTCTCTGTATGACGGATTTTCCCAGAACCCCTGGAAATTTTTAAAAATAATATTTCCAACTAACACTATTGTATCCAGTGTCTCTGTCACAACAGCTTATCCTACAGCTTACCTTTTCTTTTTAAAGTAAATATAGAAAAGAGCACTGATGACACATGAAAGGAGAAATAAAATGATGACTATAATTGCAGTTTTCCTGAAATGATTCACGGTACCTGAAAAACACAGACCAGAGCATGGCATTTCTTTGGTTACACTGTACTGTCATCTTGGAGCCTTTAACTTACTTGTAATGCTTTCTGGGTTTGCCTAATTGACATTAAAATTTACTCTATAAGATGTTTTCTAATTACCATGGAAAGAAAGGTAAAATCTTATAGAGTAGTCTCTTCTTCCCTTGAATATAATTAGGAAAGTGCATGCCTTTAAGCGAGACATTTTGGCACTGATGTGGTTTTATTGAGTTTTAACAGTTCTTTTTCAGTGACATACTACATTTGGGGTAGGTGAAGGAGATTGAACATGAAGAACTTTGCATTGAAATATGACATCTTCTCTGAAGGCAATTCTAACAAAGCAGAAAAACAACACACGAAAACTCACTGGAATCGGGAATTCACATACCCAATATTTAACATAAAACTAAGCAAGGCAGAACCTTCACTTGAATTGATAAATTACTTTTTATTGACAGTTGCATTTTGATGAAGAATTAAAATTAACCATATGAACACAACAAATAGATTTAGAGAAAATGCTTATGGTATTTAATTTATATAATCAGTTTTATGACTTGGGAAAATTAATCTGGAAAATCAGGTGGCCAACTTCTGTTTCAAAAAAATAAACATAACACAAATATTTATCTCTAATATTTTTGAGGCTCCTTAAAAATATCATTAAATTAAAAACTGCCAAATGAAAAGAGCAAGAACATTTACATGACCTTCAGTGACAAAATCTTGTGAGGAAACAGACTTACCAAACATGTAACATGATAGAAGAAAGAACTCTGAAGGTGAAAGATGAAGACAATTAGTGAAAGAGAAGTTTCAAGCTATTATTTCTAGATACACTTGAGAATATATAACTTCCTTAAAATGGGTAATGAAGAATAGTCCTTGGAAAGAACACTTTTAGCCCAGCCACTGCCAAGCCTGGGTGGAAGAGAAGCTCAGAATTCTCCACTCTGCAATCTTGAATGATTTCCTACTGTTACATTCAGGAAAAGTAGAAAATCTTGCTTTCAGTTGTGTATCGATCCCTTAGTGACCCCATGGTCTCCAGTGGATATTGCCACGGTCAGCCCTGACTAAACTAAGGGGGCCAAGGAAAGATCAAAAGTCATGAGCCTAGGAGAGTGGGTGTGGGGAGAAGGGGTGTGAGGCTGGGGTGAGAGGAGCAAGAGGGAGAGAAGGAAGAGGAAAAGAAGAGAGGAACCAGTGTATGAAATTGCCAGAGATATAACGTAAGTAAAAAATAAATAATTTTCATTTTAAGTTGTAAAAGACATTTTAAATTAAAAACTTGCTTCTCAAAAGATGAAAAAGTTCCTTAAAAGAACTTAAAGAAGATGTTTATACAATCTGCCAGATAGTATCAAGAAAAGAATAAGTCATGGATTTTAAAATGAAGTAAAAGCCACCCCAGATGCTTTAATGTACTTTTAATGAGAGGTTTACAAAACAAATCAGTTGAGTTAGCAAGAGGAATTGCTCCATGAGTTGAGAAAACATTCAGAATTTACTGATGATTAGTGATTCTCCTTGATGCCTGGGTTAATATGACAAAATTCTGAAAAAATTGGATTCTTCCTACTATCCCTAAAACAAAATGTCAGTCATTATATCTTAATATTGGGACAACATAGAACAGATCTTCTTACCAAATTATATCATTTCAGGTTCTCACTTCATTCTCATTTCAGGAATTCTATGAAAGCTGTCAATATACAGGAGTAGTAGCAAGACTGATAGCCAGAGGTTTACTGTACCCTGTGTTACCAAGCGAGAGCCTAGAAAACTCATAACCTTGTACTGATGTACAACATGGAAGGAAAGAGAAATTTACAGAACTTCCTATTCTCTGGGTTTGCAGTAAACTGCTTGCCTTGTCAATGTACAGTTAAAGAAACTATATTCTTTGATTTTATTTTAAGATTCATGGAGTACTGTTACACTTATCTCAAACACTTGCTGTGTAAATAGTATTAATTGGGTGGTCGACGTAGTCTTCTAAGCCATATTCTCTCTTGCAGAATAATTTGGATCCCATTATTGTAGATTCTGGTAGCAAACCTCTTTCTGTGTCCTATGGTTATATTTAAAACTGAGTTTTGTCCCAGCTGTGTCCCCATAGGTTGTCATCTAAAATCCAGTAGACACAAAGAACCCAGGATCTTCATACCTGTGTCTTTCAGATTTTAGGATATTAACCAGGAGAAGCAGGGAGAAGAGAATTACTCCAACACATTCCACCCTCTGACAAGTGTGTTGTAAGGGCCCTAAGCAGGAGAAATTTTCACTAGGATGGATGATTATTCACTGAGCTCTCTGAAGCCTGTAATGCATCCATGAATTTGAAATCAAATCAAGGTATGCCATGTAGTATGTTTTGGTCTACAAACTCAAATGAAAAGTTTGTGAGCTGTAGGTAGCATAGAGTTGATGAAAACCTACAGGCTGTGTGGCAATTCCAGACTGCTTTATTTCATACAGGTATTAACTATTTCAAATAATTTGTTTGCTTGTGGAAAGATAGTCACCAACTCTCTAAGCCATGAAACAAAAATAATTAGACCATTTCTCTACAATGTCAAAGATCCACTACTATTTTACATCCCCTGTTGAAGCTAGAAGGAAGACTTTACTTGACATCAGAGAATAATGGAGGCTGATTGACTGGTTCGAGAATTCTCGGGTGCTAGGCAATGAATTTGGACATTAATCAAAGTAAGACAGTTGGGAGGGAACTAGAAAGAAAGTACAAATTCCCTTCCAGTTTAGATAGTTTGGAGTTGAGAATCAGAGAGAGAAATGGGTTAATACTCTTGACAGTTTAAATATTAGAATAACCCTTTCCCTGGTAAAAGTTTTGTGACTGGAGATTTCATTAGGCTACTCCTGATATGTTCAAATGTTATTCTATGTTTATGCTAGGCTTATCTTATAAATTTCTCATAATAAAAGTAAAAATTATTAATCATAATCAATAAAATGATTCCCTCAAGAATGTTAACAGCTAGAACCATTGAAAAGCCCCTAGTGGATGACTCCCATCACTATATCTTGAATTAACCATGGGGACAATGCCACTCACTGTGATGGCAGTGCTGCTAATTAGTGCAAACAAGAAACAAACTAATTCAACAAGACTTGTGAGGTTTGAAACACATTAAAACTAGCTTGAAGCCAGTGGTAATATTGGTAGAAACAAAATATTCTATTGGCTGTGAAATATGAAATTAATAAGGGGAAATTAATGCAAAATCTTTTAGGATAGAATGATTTGAGATTCCATGAGCGTGAGATACGAGGACAAGTCACTTACAGTAGTAACTCTGCTTCCATAGTGTGCTCCTAGTATTTACCTGGACATGAGAGGATTATGGAAATAGAGCCGAGCTTTATAGACTATGAACATTTCTATACTCTACAGAAGGAAGTGATGGAAACAGTTCATTGGAAACTGAGGATCTCCACCACTTGATCTAGGGCTCTGAGGAAGATCGAAAATGATACTTTTGTTCTGCTGGGAATGAAGGTTCAAAGCTCAGCAACTGATGAACAGAGTTACAAAGACCAGGTAGACAAGGCCGTGAAAAGGAAGGTTGTAAAATAATAAAAGGATTGATGTGGAATAAAAAAAAGTTGTAAAATAATAAAAGTGGGTTTTTGAAAGTGATTAATAAAGGATGGTTTGGTTATTAGTCACCTAGTTAGTCTGGGTCCAAGTTTCCCTTTACAACTATTCAGAAAACCTGAATAAATTACTTCCGACAATTCTTTTAAAATGTTAAAGATTTCCCAAATCATAGAGAGTTCATAGGGCCTAGTGAAGCATGATTAAATGAAGCACAATTAATAAAAACTCAGGGTCAGAAATTGGGGTTCAACCTGAAGATCTGAAAAGCAAAACAGCCAGCCGCTGGCTCTTACCTTAACCTCAGTCTGAAGCGATGATCCTGCCTCCATGAATCTCAGAATGAGACTGTGTTTTGAGAGCTGTCTCCCCTTGTCTTATATTCCTCTCTAGTGTGCGATTAAAGGCATGCACCGCTGCAACCTGGTTGCTATGGCAAGTTAGTGGAGCTACCGGAATTAAAGGTGCATGTCATTGTGGCTACTGGGATTAAAGGTGCGTGTCACCATAACTTGATCTACAAGGCTGGCGCTGTTCATCCCCTGCTCTCGCGTCCTTCTCCTCTCAACTTCTTACGTTGTTGGCACAGCTATGAGAGACCCGTGGGTGTCTGTAATTCTACGTCATTCCCTGTTCCTAGACTGTTCCCATTAACTCTTGACATTATCTATTTATTTTGCATTTCTTCTAGGCTCTTGCGGTTAAAATTGTGCAGATTTGTAACATGAAACTTCACGAACTTCTGTCCATCTTTCTGGCTAGTCACAGGGTGGGTGGGAAAGGCAACATCCTGTTCTTAGGAGGTCTGAATTCATGGCCACACCTCAAACAGCAAAGACTTTAGGGGCTGTGTCAGGTCCAGTGTATTTTTTAAGGACACTCCCTGTGGCTCACTCAGAGCAGAGTCATCAGAGAAAGCTTTTCTTTTTTAGTAGCCATTTTATAAGGCTGAGAAAGTGAAACTTGAGGCAGCCAGCAATACGGCTTGTATTGCGAAAGCAGGTAAGCAGGTAGCACATATGTTCCTGGGGTCATGCCCAGAATTATGCAGCGAACTGTCCACAGGCTTTGTGTCCACAGGCTTTGTGTCCACAGGTTTTGTGTCCACAGGCTTTGCCGAAATGGGTGAGGGTCCCCAGGGTCTTGCCACAAGGAGAGCTTGTTCCTCCAATTCTCGGGCTTTGTCCCCTGAAGAAGTCATGTGACTCCTGCCACTTTTCATTTTTTTTTCCCAGATAGAGATCAAACTCGGAGCCTTGCCCTTGGCAAACAAGCCCTCTCTCTCTGAATCATAGTCCCAACCCTATTTCTCTGTGTATATCTGGCTGTCCTGAAACTCACTCTGTAGACCAGGCCTGCCTCTGCCTCCCTGAGTGCTGGGAGTAAGGGCATACAGGAAATTAGGCCTACTACAAGCATTTACACAAGCAGGGTGGTGGTGGCGCTCGCCTTTAATCCCAGCACTTGGGAGGCAGAGGTAAGCATATTTCTGTGAGTTTGAGGCCATGTGGCGAGATCCCTTCTACTTATAGAATAACACGTATTGACAAGGACGCAAACAAAAACCAACCAGACTCACATGGCTGCTGGAAACTTGAAATCGTTTGACCACTGGCAGTTCTTGAAAACACTGAACATTTAATCTACCATAAAACCTACAAAGGACATTTCTGGGTGTTTTATTCCCAGGGAAATGAAATATATACTTATGTAAATCCTTATGCATAAAAGCTCAAGAGGAATTATCCACAGAAGCCAAAAATGTAAATAATCCAAATATCTATCAACTGAAGCATAGATAAGTGAAGTGTGGTGTATCTATACTGTAGAATACTTTTTACTCATGTAAAAATTCAAGTAATGATACATGTCGCCATGCGGATGAACCTTGAAAACTCTGCTACATGAAAGAAGCTACAGGCAAATGATAACATACAATGTTTTTGCTTACGTATGAAGTAACCACAATAGATAAATCCATTTGCATGTAAAACAAGCTGGTGACTACCGGGCAATGGGGAGGCCACACACTTCAGCCATGGGAAATTTTGCCACTGCTAGAAGGTGCTTGGTTTCTTCAGGGAATCATGGAAGTGTTCTGTAATTACACATCAGTGATGGTTGCAACGTACTTAGAAAACACCAACAACCTTCAAATCATACATTTTAATAGAACACATTCTATCTTAATTTTAAAAATAAAGATAGTATGTGGAAAAAACTAAAAGTGACTAATGGGCAAGCCTCGGCTAAATGAAAACCAAAACAATGAGTGACAAGCAATTAAGCAAGGGGAGAGTTGCTGTAAAGAATCCCACTGCAGGGTGCTCACATTTTTCAGAGACAGGGTCTCACTGTATAGCTGTGGTTGTCCTGGAACTCAGTATGTAGACCAGGCTGGCCCTGAACTCACAGAGATCCTCATGCTTCTACCTCCTAAGTGCTGGGATTAACGGTGCATGCTACTATACCCAGCTTCATTGCTTGACTTCTTAATTATATATGTGCATTATATTGGTTTACTTCTTCAAAAATAGCTGATTAACATGAATATTTTCCATTAAGAATTTTAAAAAAGATAACTATCTCTACTCTCTCATCCTCTCTTGTGTGTCTATGTGTGTGCATGCTTGTGCATGTGTAAGTATGTGTACATGTGTGTAAATGTCTGAGCTTCTTTGTGCATTTGAATGTGTGTATGTGAATGTATGTACTGGAAGCCGGGGATCAATCAGAGGAGCTGTCTAGCTTGTGATTTTGTTAGTCTTATTTCATTTTTCTAAGAGATTTTCACTGAGACCCAAGGATCACTGATTCTTCCAGGTTGACTGGTCAGTGAGATCAGGGATTTGACTTTCCTCACTTCCCCAGCTCCGTGATCACAAGGACACACATCTATACCTGGCTTTTTATGTGGGTGCTGGGGTTCAAACTTGGGTTTCCATGCTCTCATGGCAAGCATTCTATAGACTAAGCTGTTTCCCCAGTTCCAACTCTCCTCCCAGCCCCTTGATTTGCTGTCACTTCTACTTACCCTCTTGATTTACTGGCAGAGAAACTATCTTCTTTTCAGATCCTAGGGGGTGAGTCATGGACACAACCAGGTGCTGGAGGCCCAAGGACCTAACAGTTTTCAAAGAGATGTTGTATATTTTAGTGACGGTCACTGTGGTATTCGGGTTCTCAGTCAAGTACTCTCTCTGCAGGAGCACGAGAGCTTCTGAAGGGTAGATGGAGATTCCAGGAGCAGGCTTTCCCACCCCTGAGCAATGAAGGCTAAGGAGATCTTCAGAGCCAGGAACAGGATGCAGTTCAGTTATTAATTCAGGAGCAACTGAGGCAAAGAGAGGGAAATGAAGTTAATATAATCAATTTTGGTATATTTTTAACGAATGGCTTTCCTCCCCCCCCCAATTTTTATATGACACATAAATGCTGAAAACATATTCCTCTTAGGTTCTACCCCTCACATATCATAAAACTTTCAATACCTTTTGCTCTGTTTACTGACTGCTGTCTCAACTTCTATGCAATTTTAAATTACACTGTACACACCCCAAGCATTTCATGCTTAGAGCAGCACAATGAAGAGCTCCTGTGTTCTCACTAAGCCCTGAGACAGATTGCTTATTTGAAGACTGGGGAACCCTAATTCCCTTAGCCTTCCCCTTCCCTTGATCTTTTCTGCTGTCTCTTCCTTTTACCCTACCTTCTCCTTGCCTTAGTAACAAAACTCTGATGCTCTACTGGGTTTTCTCCCCTTCACTGAGGCCAGTGCAGTATACTGTGAAGAGCTGTTGTGAGGTGGTAGAAGGCCCTGCCTCAGCACACAGTCTCATTGGCCTCCTTGATTTTCTCCTGTCTAAATCACTTGGACTCATCAATGTCAGTTTTTCACCATCTAACTTCCTTTCTCTGAACCATGCCCTTAAACACTATAACTCCATGATGTCTGCCCCCATTATAGGACACTAGAGAAAGGGTTATATACTTAGGACGTTAAGGCAGGTTTGTCCTCCATGGCTGCCATATGGAAAGGTGTTAAACAGACACTTGTAGCAGGCTTCATCTTCAAACGTCACCTCTTGGATGATTATGAAGGAGGCATTGGGTTCCAGGATCTTGCAGTGAAGCCTGTTTTCATAAGGAGGAAGAACATTTTCTCCATATTTATGGCTGTAAGTGCCGATATTTTGTGGCAAAGAGCCTTCAATTTTCTGCCAGGTGACTTGCAGAACATTTGCCAGACTTGTCAAATTGCAGAAGATGGTCACGTTTCGTCCTAGTATAGCTGTTTCATAATTCTTATGCTTTATTTCCTGTGAATACACTGAAAACAAGGTCCAGTGTTAGGGGAAATATGCATCCATTCTACCCCAGCATTCCTAAGAGCACCTGGCTTTATGATTACCATTCTATTTGCCTCTTCTGCACAATAGAACATGACACACTCCACACTGAGGAAAAGAGATCGTGCATTCAAGAGCAACCTACGATACAAAGAGAAACTGTGTCTCAATGAAAAGGAAAAAGTGTGGAGCCATAACCTATGTACAGTTTCAGTAGGAGAATGCTTGCCTGGCACAGACAAGGACTTATATTTGATCCTCAGAACCGAGAGAGGGAGAGAGAGAGAGAGAGAGAGAGAGAGAGAGAGAGAGAGAACTACAGTTGTTTTCAACATCGAATATCTAGATTTTAAAATGGATTCTACTACATATTACCTAATAAACAACTATTAAGGGTAAAAATTAAGAAAATAAATATATATAGGATATATTTATATATATAAAACACTTTACTGAATACATATATGTATACATATGCTAAGCAAAATTATATATAACTTTGCTTTCATATATAGACTAAACTTGTATCATAATTATACATATATGTACATATGTACCCTAGGTTAGAATTATTCAATACCTGGATGGATAGCTCATATACTTAAATTGGTCAATTTTGTCATCAAGAGAATGCAGGCTAATCTGAGGACTACATATGTGCCAGTTGTCTAAAATGAAAGGCAAGCAATGTCAAGTTTTATTGAGAATTTGCAGAAACAATACACCTTACCCACACTGCCAAAGGAAGTGTAAATTCTGTTGGGTACTCAGTGGCAACCCTTGGAGTTATCTTATCACTGACTATAAGCATACCCTACAAGCAGCAAGTCTACCCCTAACATACCTGATAGAAGCTAATACATGTATTCTCCAAAAACGTGAACAAGATTTTCCATGATCAAAATCGAATGGCAAATGAGGAATATATTTCATGCCACACTACAGAGGATAGAGCCATACGCATGGATATAAGAGCAGAACAAATTAGACTCAGTCAGTTAATTTTTAAAAAGGCCATGAAGTTGCTGTGGGGAGAAGAGAGTGGATCCGAGCAGCATAAGAGGAAGAGTGGTGGGTAAATGCCCTCACAGCTGGCAGGGCAATGATTCGGGTGAGGTAAGAATGAATCCTGGATTCAGCTTGACTTTAGATAACTAGTGCTGGGCCAAAACTTCTGGAGTCTGATGAAAAGGTCTTTAAAAAAACCATATTTAAACTCAGTAAAACTTTGGGATAGGTTCTATTGACTGGTATACAATGCTCAGGATTTGGGGGATTCAGGTGAAGCCTAGATCCATAGAATAGCAAAAGATCACCAGATTGTTAGAAAACATCTACTCTAGTTTCTGGGTGAATAGGTATCAGTTTCTTCCCTCAGAAAAGAAATTATGCATGTTTAACAATTCTGGTTTCCCTTATGCTCATTTGTGAGTACATGGACCTCATTTCCTCCTACAGGTAAATATGATCAAAATGCATTATATGAAATTCTCAAACAATTAACAAAAATAGTATGTTAAAAAAAAAGCCAAAGCTGGCCTGGGTGTGGTGGGTACACTTAACCCCAGCACTTGGGAGGCAGAGGCAGGTGGATCTCTCTGAGTTTGAGGCCAGCCTGGTCTACAGAGTGAGTTCCAGGACAGCCAGGGCTACACAGAGAAACCCTGTCTTGAAAAACAAAAACAAAACAAAACAAAACCAAAGTTTAGCTAGAGAGTAGGCTCAGTGGTCAAGAACACTGGCTGCTTTTTCAAAGGTCCTGAGTTCTATTCAACAACCTCAACAACTACGTGGTGTCTCATGTCTCAATACCATTTATAGTGGGGTCTGATGCCTTCTTCTGGCATAAGGTCAATAGAGCACTCATGTACATTAAAGAAATAAATATTCTTTTTTTAAGTTGTATAAAGAAATTATAGTACCACACAAAGGAATTCATTCAACAATGAGATTCAATAAATACATTTCTTCTAAAAATGTCAAGAAATTCTACCAATATATAAAGAAACCAGAAACAATCGAATTGATGCTAAGTGGTTTTGTATATTTTTTAGGTCAACAACAGATAAACCCATAATGTGAAGATGTGGAGAATAAAAGTTAAGAGTCGGAATACGGCTGTAAAATCCTATCTACTTTCCCAAATTTGTGCTTTATTTAAATATGAAGGCTAAAAACACAACCACAGCTTGATCCACGTAACTCATATGATGTCATATGTTTTTTCTCATTCATTCTATTTCCATGATCAAATTATGAAAAACTTTTCTTTTCAAATATTTTTCAACATAAACGTGATGGACCTAAGCTGTAACCACAGCATCACAAACGTCTCAAATGCATGAGGCAAGTTATTGTTTAGAGAAACACTGTGTTCATCAGTCAGTTCTGTGCTCACGCTTTTTCACCTGGGGCGATTAGCGGGACTGAGGTCTTCTAGCACCACTTTACTTTTCTGCACCTCAGCATTTTCGTCTTCATAACAGGCTTAACATTACCCGACTCACAGTGTTGAACAAAATGAGAACACGGGCTCATCTGACAGCTAAAAGTCACTGTGAATATTTCAGTTTCCATAGATAATTTGGCTCTTGCTTTCAGGGAAGGACAAACACTACAGTGAAAATCTAAACTAACAACACAAAAAAGTAACAACCAAGCTGTCAGTCATTGATTCCACAGCAGTGTCTACACTGCTTTGCCCCTCATCATTGCTGGCTCCCAGGTCCTCTTCTCCTTATAGTATGAGCTACTTCCTGAGAGAAGAATTTCTCATTATGCATTATATATATATACACACACATATATATATATATAATGCATTATATATATATATTTATATATATATATATATATATATGCAGTTTTCTTACTTAGTGCTGGAGATTAAACCCAGGACTCCACTTACGCTAATCAGAAACTTGATCACGAAACCTCAGCCCCCCTTTTGAATTTAACATGCTTTTGGTTTTCTCTCCTCAATTATTTTTTAAAGATTTATTCTAGTTCTTTAATGATGCTTGTGGCACAGGCTATGTGCCCTTGAGTGTTTACAGAGGATAGAAGAGGTCTTTGGATCCCCTGGAACTGGGTTTACAGGCAGTTGTGAACCTCCTAAAGTAGGTGCTTGGAAGAGAACCTGGGCTCTCCAACAGAGTACTCTGTGCTCCTAACTACCAAGCCACCTCTCTAGACCCTTCATCTGCATTCTTAAAGACACTAGCTATTACCTTGTGAAGAAAAATGATGGATTAGATGCTGTTAATTCAATCATTCATAATGCTCCAAAAATAATAAGACAATATTTGTTGAATGTTTAAATTAGGTCAGCTTGTAATGATAGACAAATCCATAAAGCAAATTTTATAAGCGTGCCCATATAATAAAAGCTCATAACTACCAAGAAAAGATTTAAAACAGCTCAACCTCAAAATTAAATTTTATGTATGTTGTTTGACTGTGAACATAGGCAAAATTACAAAAACAGCAGCAAGCCGACTTTGTGAGGAGATCCTCTGCAGCTTGCTGGTCTGTCACCTTTATATGTGCACAAATCAGGCATACAGATGATCTCGTTTGAGCGCGTTGCACATACCCGAGAAGCTGCATGCTTGCCTTATTTCTCCCCTTTCTCTAATATTCTATAGTCACTGCTTCAAATATGCTCACATTAAATGATTTGCCAGTTGTGTGATTATATGTGCACATGATTAATACACAGAACCAAGCATAGATCCCTCTTTACCTTTTACTGGGATAAAAGTAAATAGTCTATAGCCTGGCGGTTTTGTCATTAACTTCCAGCTTAACATTTAAAAAAGGAAATCAAGAGTTACCTGATTCTTGTGTGCAGACAGGAAGCATTAAGAGGTGGAGAATGCAATGGAGTAAAATCCCCATTGACTCTCCTGGTGAAAATCTTCACTAACAGTGAGAATATCTTGTTTCCTAGCAGAACATTTTAAAAAAGAAGACTGTGATTTTCTTCCGCTGTTTCCTGCCAAAATAAGATTATTCCTTATCAAGGTATTTTGCAATCATTGCATTCCAAGGTGTGGCGATACACACCCCTAATCTACTCTTACTCTCAACACTTGTCTGAACCCTATATAGCTATCTTAAACTAGAATATATGTATATATATATCATAAATATATATCTACATAAATACAGATACAGTTACATATTGTTGCTTGATGTTTTACTTTTTTGCCTTTTGAGGGGCCTCCCACAAAGCTCCCAAATAAACATACACAGAAGTTTATTCTTAGTTATAAATGCCTGGCCTTTGCTCAGCTTTTTGCTAGACAGCTTTTCTTAACTTTAATTATCCCAACTACCTTTTGCCTCTGGACTTTTTCTTTTCCTTACTTCATGTCTTACTTTCCTTCTTACTCCGTGGCTGACTGGGTGATGGGGTGACTGGCCCCTGACATCTTCTCTTTGTTCTCTTGCTTCTCCTTCTCCTGCTCTTTATACTCTCTCTACTTATACTGTCTGCCAGGCCTGCCTATCTTTGCTTCTGCCTTGCTATTGGCCATTTAGCTCTTTTTTAGGACCATCATGAATCTTAGCCAGGCAAAAGGTCACAGCTTCACTGAGTTTAAACAAATGCAGCATAAACAAAAGCAACACACCTTAATATAATATTCCCCAACAATAGATACAGAAAGATACAGATAAAATATCACCCAGTGTGCTGGCTTCAAAACGACAGCCCCAAACCTATAGGTTTATAGGTTTGAATGTTTTTCATTAGGTCATGACACTACTTGATAGGGCTTAGGCGATGAGACTTGATGGAGTATGTGTGGCTTTGCAGGAGTAAGTGTGTCAATGAGGTTGGGCTTTGGAGTTTTAAACGTTCAAGCCAGGCCAAGTGTCTCTGTCTCTTCGTGCTGCCCACAGATCCATATGTAGAGCTCTGAGCTCCTCCAGCACCTTGTCTGCCTGCACACTGCCATGCTTCCCGCCATGATGATAATGGACTAACCCTCTAACCCTTAAGCCAACCCCAGTTAAATGTTTTCCTTTATAAGAGTTGCCATGGTTATGGTGTCTCTTCACAGTATAGAAACCCTAACTAAGACACCCAGATAAACTCTCATGGTTATAGAACCCAAACTTTGAACCAGAAAATGACCCTATACTCTGAAGAGTGGTCTTGACTTCTCGGCATTGGTATCAGTAGTCAGCCTGCATGTCACAGACATGTATATAAACGCTACTCTCCTTCATGCTAAATAAGAGACAAATTCTGATCTATAAGCCTTCTTTTTCGTAGTCATTCATAAATCCTTATGAAAAAGCATCTCCTTTATTTTAACTTCTCCCTTAAACTTTGTCTCAGTAAAAATAAAGGTCACTAAGGTCATGTGTCAGGTATACCTCACCCACAAAAATACGTAAATACTTGTCTTTCCTGAGGTTGAAATGTCAGAGACCTTTCTTTCTTTTCATCACTAAGATAAAATTTTACTACATCTACATTCCTACCTTTAATATCACTGTCCACCTAGGAGACATTTTCATCTTTCATGCAGAGCAAATTCAATTTCCAAAGGAAAAAAATGAAGTGATCATTACTATTATTGTTGACTCTGGTTTTGGAGGTAGAGAGCACTGAGTGTGAATAAGGATACCTTGGATGCCATGTAACTTCTGAGCCAATGAATATTGTTGTTGCTGTGTTAATGGGCAGCAAATTCTATTGAAATGAAAACTGAGCCCTAGATTTCTTTTTGTAGACAATGATGTGATAGAGAGATTTAAAAATTTTACAGAATTATTCAAATTCCTCCAAGATGTTCTAAAGAAAACCATGTCTCAAGAACTAAAGATGGATGTAGAAGTTGGAACAGGACCAGCTGGGAAGCAGAAAAGGGCCAATGGGAATGTACTGAGAAATAAAAGAAAATAATAGGTGAGAAGAATATGACTATAATAGACCGTAAGAAACTGTAAAAGAGTAACAAAGAATTAAAGGCAAGTGAAGTAATGTCAAGAGTGGGTTGCATGAATTCACTCAACAACCTTAAAAGCAACATGGTAACAGCAGTACCCTGTGGTCATACAACAGGACGACTTGATCATCCTAACCTAGAAGAAGCAGAAGAAATAGATTTTAAATGTAATTTAATGAGGATGATAGAAACCTTTAAAGAGGAAATAAAAAATTCCATTAAAGAAATGGAAGAAAAGGCAAACAAAATATTGGAAGACATCAATAAATCTTGTAAAGAAACCCAAGAAACCCAAGGGAAAAAAATCAAACTGGTGAAGCGAACAGTTCAAATACTTCAAGACTTAAAAACTGAAATAGAGACAAAAAAGAAAACACAAACCGAGGGAATTCTGGAAATGGAAAATCTAGGTTAACAAATGGGAATTACAGAGGCAAGCATAAGCAACAGAATACAAAAGATGGAAGAGAGAATCTCAGGGGATGAAGATATTGTAGAGATAATAGACTCATGGGGCAAAGAAAATGTTAAATCCAACAGATTATTAACACAAAACATTCAGGAAATCTGGGACATTATGAAAAGACCAAACTTAAGAATAATAATAAGAGTGAACTTCTAGCAGACTTCCATTGGAGGAGTGGTGAGTTTTCTCCTGGCCAGAGGGCTTCTGCTAGGAGGAATTCAGCCTTTCCCCGGCCCCCTCGACAATCTGGTCACCAGGCAGAGGCGACTCCTCCCTGCGG